TTTATATAAGAATCATTAATGTTTTTGTTGAGAAGAAAAAAAAGACAAACTTTTTTGATAGTCGTTTAAATTAAATATCTTTGATCATTACTTATGTTTTTATATTATTGAAATGCATTTAAATAAAGTAACAAACCACTGCTAATGATTTTTTATAAAAACATTAATGAAAAATTAATTAATATCAAAGTAAGTATTTTCATGGAATTAATATTATGCAATGTTTTGTGTTTTTTTTTCTATTATCTATGCATTTTTCATCTTCTTTTAGACATTTTAGACATAGTTTATCTTTTTAGCATCAATATTATGCTACTAATATAAAGTATGTCTAAAATGTAAATAAATACACATGGATATGTGTGTAGACATATCTAAAATTACATCTAACATCAATTAAAGATTAACTATCAATTCATACATGTTTCAAAATTAAATGATACTATATAGGCGACAGCGTTACATCTCATCAAGTCTAAATTTTATGTATCTATATGTATTATGTTTCATCTTGGTTACGTAAAAATAATGAATATTTTTAATGTAACGATGCATTACAGTGTTACATATCCTTACATAAAATCTTTCGTTTTGGTTACGTAAAAAAAATGGATATTTTGCACGTAATGTAACAAATCGTGTTTACGTCACAATACGTAGCGTAACTTAAAAATATTATAGGAGTCAATGGAAATGCTTTTCAATAAAATAAATAAGGAAGTGTGTAAAAACGTGAGTCTTTTTGTCTATAGTAGATTGTTGAAGTCCATAGCAATGCCATAGCAACCCATTTTTAAACAAGAAAATTTCAATTTGTTCAAATTTCTAAATAAAACTAACTTATTTCTACTTGTTTCTTTACTTGATTCTTGTTTATTTTGTGCTTTATGATTGTTTTCAAATGTTGAATCATTTATTGTACATGCATCATGTTTGATGTGATGTTGCATGCTTGCATGCTGCAAGCTGTTTTAATTTATTGACCCTCTTCTTAGTAAATAGTTGTCTAAATAAAATATAGGATGTTCAATTGCAATATCTAAAAAAAGTAAGTTTTTTTTGTTGCAGCTTTATAGATTAATTTCTGATCTAAACGCTGAAATATCTGAAACAAATTGATATGAAACATAAAATTATTATAACCTTTGATATCTTCAAATTAATGGTTTAAAAAAATGATTTAGAAAATTTGTTTTTGATTTAACTTTTGTTTTAAAGTTTGTTTTTTGTTTTCTCAAAATGTAATTTTGAATAAATATGTAATTGTTTAAGCATTATATTTCAGATAAAGACCATAGCTGACTTAAAATATTCATGATACTTTTGTTATTGATTGAATTAATTAATGAACAGGAGTTTTATATATTGTGTCAAAGTATGTTTAATATCTGTTTTTCTTGTCTTCTTTATTTAAAAAAAGTCATAAATAGAAAATTACTATTAATATGTTCTATGCATCTTAATGGATGGTTCTGGTTGATAACCTTTTTATACCTTTTCATAAAATTTCAGAACTTATGGATGTAAAATAACAACAAGCAGTTTTATAATTGCACCTGACTGTTTATAAATTTTTGATGAGTTAACTTCACTTTTATTAATAATAAATTATGATTTCAATCAGAATCACAGAAAACAAGAAACATGATTTACTGCCAACAACTCCGATGGATCTTAGTGGATATGTTTATGAATATACTCCCAAAAAACTTCATGTATACAGGATCTACTTTAAATTTCTGATAAACTAATTTAAAAGTCTAGAAACAGTTCATTTATATAAAAGCCCATTCTTTAATATTAATTTATTCTTATGTATAAACCCTAATTTTTTTAGTCTGCGTTTGTTAAAATCATTTTCCCTAAAAAGTCTAATATCATAGTAGGCTAAGTTTATTGCCATTCTAACATGGATAATAATATTTAAAAATTTTAAAAATATTTAAAACTATTTTAAAAATTTTTTGTTGAAAAGAATAAAACTATCTTTATAATTGCTTTAATATAGATCTTACAAGTAAACTCTGTTAAATTTGAAGCCTTGGATTCATTCAGCAGTTTTAACTTCAAAAAATAAGAAGAAGAAGAAATTTAAAAAATTAACGAAATAAGAAATTTAAAAAATTAACGAAATAAGAAATTTAAAAAACTTCTAATGACAAAAATGTAAATAAAGTCTTGAAAAAATTACAAAACCTAACAAAAGTATTGTAACACTTATTCAACAAAGCAAAAAAAAACAAACATTTTTTTTCATTTTTACTTATAGTGATAGTTTGGGGGCAATGTGGATGGGTATCAAAAATCTTTTGAATATACTTTTGGAAGATATCTCATACCTGTTATATGTATTTTCAAACAACACCATTATAAAAAATCCAGTGGAAGTTACAGAAATTTTTAACTTATTCTTTATTTAAAACCCTGAAGTACTGCAAAAAAAAAATTCACTCATCATTAAACCTACTGACAAAAATAAAATAAAATTACTTATTCTTTTTCTAAATGATGGCTAGGCTTCTGGTCGAAACTGCATTGCAACATTTATTCTTAAACTTTTTGCAAACAATATTTCTCAAATACTTTCTAAGCTATTTAATTTGTCATTCATTACTGGTATATTTCCTGATATTTTAAAAACTGTATCTGTCAAACCAATCCATAATAAATATATATAAAAAACTATTTAAAAACAACATTTTTAAAATAGGCTAAAAAATAAATAAAAATTATTAGTCAAGCCATGGACTTTGTTTACATACCCTAGACTACCAATCTTACAGATCCTACAAGAATACTATAGAATGAGTTGCACAAGTCTCTGCAGGACAAGATTCTTGTTAAAAGATCTTGTAGGATTTGAAGGAATTCTTATAGGATAAGGTAAGATCTACAAGAATATTTTTAAAGATCTTGCAGAAATCTAATAGGATGTTTTAAGTTAATTTTAGATTCATACAGGAACTATAATGTTTAGTATTATTATAATTAATATCATTTATTATAATAATATAAGTCTACAATATTCCAGATATATCTTCAAATATAAATGGATATATCTATAGTGTATTATCGTACAAACCTTAATAAGAAAGATTCAATACCCAAAAGAATTTTTAACCTACTTTAATTATATTATATTTTAAATAATGTTGCAATTGCAAATTTTAAAGTTGATATTTTAGATACAATATAGCTTGTGGGTTTTTAAAAACCTAAAAAATACTGATTTAAAAAAAAAAATTTAATGTCTAAGGTGATCATATATCTTTTCTTTATCCGTAGTTGTTATTTTCGATTAGAAAAGTAAACAAATTAATATTAAACTAATTTTTATTTACAAGATAGTTAAATTTTACTGAAAAAGACAGATTGTGCCAGGCTGCAGATTTCCAAAGGGTGCCAAATAGAAAGGAGGTATCTAAGAAAGAGGGTCCTTCACCAATAATATAGGAGAAATTTGAAAAATAAGGGCGCTAATCAAGTTGCTATCTTGGGCATGATGACTCTTGGCGGCACTTTATATATATCTATATATCTATCTATCTATATATAAATATATATATATATATATATATACATATATATATATATATATATATATATATATATATATATATATATATATATATATATATATATATATATATATATATATATATATATATATATATATATATATATATATATATATATATATATATATATATATATCAGACCCATACCATGGGGGTGGGGGTGGGTTGTTGGATGCAATCAACCCCCTTTTAAACCAAATTCTCTTAATTTTACGTACATTAAAATTAAGCAATTTTACGTACATTAAAATTGAGCAAGATATATATTTGCAAATCAAAATGGACCCTCACTAAAAATTTACGGTACGGGCCTGTATGTATTTTGTTTATATATTTCAATAAAACTAGTTTTAAATTATTTTATATTTAGAATATATTTTTGTTTTTCTACATACCAATGCAGTCGTGTAGCGCAGTGAATAGCACGCTTGGCTTAGACTCTAGCGATCCGGGGTTTAAAACCCACCTCTAGATAAGTTTTTACATTGGTTAAAAATGAGGCGGGAACTCCTTAATAAATGTTTCTCCATGGTGCTCTGTGATAAAACCATAAAGCACCTAACAAAAAAAAAAAAATTTTTTTTTTTACAAATCCCTTCAGATACCCTAAAGGCTAATCACAGAATTTCCTATGATCCTATAGGATTTGCAAGAAAAATCAAATCTTATGAATCCTTTAAGATAACCTATTGGGTAATCATAGGATTTCTTATGATCCTATAGGATTTGAAAAACAAATAAAATCTTACAAAATCCTTTTAAGATATCCTGTAGGATAGTATAAGGTTATTGCAATCTTATAAGGCTTATAAGTTGTCAGTAAGATGTAACTTGGGTGCACAACCTAAAATATCCATTTATGTTAATGACTAATAATGTTGGGTGCCCAAGATTTGAAATGTGAAGATATTTTTGAACTTATGAACCTGCAACTAGGTAGAACTCAATCTGATGGGCGCCCAACATTTTCAGTCATTTACTTTAATGAATATTTCAGATTGCATACGTACATAAAGTCCTGAGAAAAAGTTTGTTTTTTAATTTATAGTCGATTTTTAAAATGTTGTTTTAAAAAAGTTTTTTATATATATATATATATTTTTTTTTTACTTTTTAGTCCATTTTAAAAATGTTTTTTTTTAATTTTTTTTTTTTTTTACATATTTGTTTCACTAAAAGAGTGAAATAAGTTTCTAGCTGTTTTTTTTAAGTTTCTTTTTTTTTTTCTAATTTCTTCAAGTTAGTTCTATTACCATAATCGGTTGAAATTTGGACAATATTAAATTGAATTTTTTCAAAAACCACTTTATCAGTTTTAATGATTTTTTTTTTTTTTTAATATTAAATTTATTTTTGCTTTTAGTTGATTTAAATTCAATATTTTCAAAATCAATAATTTTTTATGGGTTTTACTTTTTTCAGCTTCAGAACTTCCAAGTGAATCCATAACAGATCTCAATGTTTCTACAAAACTAAGTAACTTTATACACACTTATGTTTTTTTTTCTTTACAAACTAATATTATTGAAACATATTATTGATAATGAAAAATTATTTTTCTTATATAACATGAAGGTAGGTCATTTGGTATGGATGTTGTGTTTGCGATGGATTTGTCATTATCTTCTTCAAAAGAAATACTTCAGAAATAAAAGAGTTTAATTAGATCTCTTACAAAATACCTTTTACCTTCTTCGTATAATCAATTAGGATTGGTAACATATTCTAACAAAGGTCATGTGAATGCAAATCTTAGTTCTGTATTTAATGTCATGGTTTTAGATAGGATTGAAAACACTGATAAACAACAAGTTGTGGAATCAGGTATTAGAGTTGCTTCAAATTTGATTTTCAAACCAAGAAATAAAGATAAAAAACTAAAAAATAGAAGTAAAGTGTTGGTACTGTTTGTGACTGGAAAACAATCCATAAATTACCCAGCATTTATTATGGTTTCAACCTTCTTTCAACTTTATAACTCCAAAAAACAAACCTTGACAAACAAGGCTGCTGCACTGAGAAACAAGTTGAACATGGTACTACCAGAGACGTGGTGGGGATCGAACATCACAAAATAAAAATATTCTAAAAACAACTTGTTTAGATAATTAATTAAACCGCTTAATTAAATTTATTCTTGTCTTGATAAGAAGCCAACACTATCTGATTGCTTGGAGGGAGTTGAAAAGGAGGGGCTTGAAAAGGATCTTACCTCTGCTACTGCATGGAACTCACAGTCGATGGTGAACTTTAATTCAGATAAAACCCAATTTTTTTCAGCCAATCGTTATTGCAACAATTTAGACCTTCCTATATTTATGAACAGTAATGTACTTGATGAGTTATCTATCCTTCATCTTCTAGGAATTATTCTTACTTCCGATCTTTCTTGGAAACAATATATCAAATCCATTGGAAAGTTAGCAATTGCTAAGGTTGCTTCTCTTTATTGTGCTTGACACTTTCTAATTCCAGATTCTATTCTTTATCTCTATAAAACTTAAATCCTTCCTTGTATGGAAAACTGTTGCCATATCTGGATTAACCTTTAAATAATGTCCTTATTCTTTTAGACAAGATGCAAAAATGCACTGTAAGCATAGTTGGACCTGCTCTTGCAGCCAACCTCCAACCATTATCACATCATCATAATGTTGCTTCTCTTTCTCTTTTCTGTAAATACTATAATGGGCACTGCTCTAAAGAGCTAGCGTCTCTTGTGCCATATACTAAAATTCATTCTCGTGTTGCTTGTCGTTCAATTAAGTCTCAACCTTTTTCTGTTACTGTTCCTAAGTGCTCCAAAAACTCTAATTCGTCTAGTTTTTTCCCTCGAACATCAGCTCTTTGGAATTCGCTTCCTTCATCTTGCTTTCCTGATTCATATAAATTGCTATCTTTTAAGTCATCTGTCAATTGTTATCTTGCTCTATAAACTTTATCTTTTCTCTTCCAGTAACTTTCAACTATTATAGTGGTTGCTTACAGCCTTGTTGGAAGCAAAGATGTTAAATAATAATTAAAAGTACCATTTTCAGTACCAGTACCATTTTCTTTTTAAAATTGAAATAAAAAGCGTTCCTCTAAAATTGTATTGATTTTTTTGAAAGTTTTCTTTTCATAGTAAAAAAAACTAAAAAATGTATTTTTTTTAACTGAGTTTTTTTAATATGTTTGAAATAATGGGTTGGCTCTGATTTGGGTCCAAGTATTTTTTTACCAGTACTGATTCCATGAAAAAGATTATACGATTTAAAGTTTTATACATAAAATCTATCAATGTAAAAGATGATGTAAAGTCAGTCTAAACATATTGATTTTCTTAGGTTACTTAAAGCTAATAATAATATTATCATTAAATAGCTTCAACATTGTAAGTGGAAACTCTGTTGACAAAATTTGAAATGTCATTGATCTTCTAATAACTTGTTCAACTAATATCTTTAAATTAGCAATTTCTTTTTTTTTTTTTCAGTATTAATATTAAAGCCTTAATCATACATTATACAAGAGTATTTTGGAATGTTTATCTGAAATTTAGCCTCTGTAAGGTTTAGAAATTATTTAAAGAAATTATTGATGAATTTGGAGCTACAGATACTAATGTTTTATATTGTTGTGATGTTTGTATTCACTCTATGTTAGTTTCTGTGAGTCTAAATTTTTAGGTGTTTCAATAAAAATTCTGTTATATCTGAAATTTAGCGCAAGTCTGAATAATTTAATTTCTTAAATCTGTTTGGCATTGTCTGTCTTATAACATCTTTACTTGGAACAAAAACCATGTGTTTTAAAATTGAGCTAGAAGCTTTCACCCATGAAGAAAATATTGCACTGACTAATCCTAAAGATTTATTAAAACCTTCAGCAAGATTAGTTGTCAATAATCCAAGTCTTAGCATCATTAAAAATTCATCTTTGCTGCATAACTTTTATTTTGGTCCAAATAGTTTAGGGTTTTTTCCAATTTCAAAAAACAACAGTAGATGTTTTTTTAACCTCACTTTATCTTCTTTTGATTAATGATGATACTGGACTATGTAACTCATGAAACACACTGACAGATGTAAGACCAGTGTAAAGGTCCCAAGATCTATTATTTTTAAAATAAATGTTTGTATACAAATTAATTGTAACAACACAATTTGTTTGGATTATGTTTATATACAAATTTGTCTGGTTTTATAGTAATAACTGATGTTGTTGAAGTTAATTTTCCATATAAGTTTTAATTTTTTTAATTGAAAGCTGAATTTCGTGCTGAAGTTCTTTCTTTAAGTTGTCAATTTCCTTTTTTAATTCTTGATGCTCTTGATTACAAAACAACATTAAATTCAACATAATCTGATGGATTATTGTTGTATTTTTTACATTTATTAATATAAGTCTTTGAGCATTGTAACTTACATTTAACGAAGAATATGGATTTTTAAAACGATAGTGCTCTGTCAGGAAAATTGTCTGAACATATTCTCATTTTATATTTTATGGCAAATAATTTATTATGACGCGATAATGTAGGATTTTAACGGTTAATTAGTTTTCCCAATTTTTCTCTGATTTCTGTTTGTTTTTATATTGTTATATATCTTTATGTGTGTTGATAATGGATAACAAATGCTTACTTGTATGGTAGTTTGCAGTTTCTTAAGTTAGAGCTTCGTTTAACATTTTGTATCATACATAAGTCATCTTTTCACATTTCTAGAATGTACTCATTATTTTTACAATCGATGAGAACGCATGTTTTCGATCTCTTGAAGCTTTTATATGGTATAGGTTTACATTTTTTTCCATTACAAGCCACTATAGCTTAAACCATTGAAATAATGTTTGTTTACGTATTTACTTCCATTTCTGCGCGCACATAAATATTATATCGAAACTGTAAAAAGGTGTATTGCTTAAAAAAATTCAGTTGCTTATAAAATTTCAATTGCTTATAAAATTTCAATTGCTTAAAAAATTTCAGTTGTTTATAAAATTTCAGTTGCTTATAAAATTTTAGTTTCTTGTAAAATTTCATATATAATTGCTCATAAATTGAGCAAAAAGCCCAAATGCAAATTATAATAAGAACAAACTTTTTGAATAATTAAGAAATATCTTTAAAAAAAAATTAATGTAAAATTTTTACATTAATTTAATGTCACTGTTGAATGAATCAACAAAAAGATTTTGGGATTTTTTTAAGAACATGCAACAAAGCTTGAGTCAAAAGTCAAAAGTTCATTAGTCAAAAGTTCATTAGTCAAAAGTAATTAATAACTAATTAAGATCTATAACTGCAACTAAACTGGATATTAACAATGTAGCAATCACTAATGGGCTACAAAAAGTTTCAAATTAGCTTGTTAAGCTAATTTGATACATAGATGTTAGAGTTTTAATTCAAAAACCAAGTAGTCACAGTTTAATGTTCCTCTGTGCTGCTTTATGACAATACCATTAGATCTTCATAAAGCTTCTTAATAACTGGAAATAAAAATATTAAAGATGTTCTGTGATAATTTTTGTCATATATTTATTTTTTATTTCATTACAATTTATTATTTGTTTATATACTTTATTGTATGTCTATTACAGCATACTTGTTAACATGTGTTTCTGTATTTAAAAATTTTTATTTGATAAAATTGTTTATGAAATATATAAAAAAAGCTTTGCTTTTTAATATTCGTTTTTATTTTTACAAAATATGTTTAAATAGGTGCACATTAAACATTTTTTTTTTCATTTTTAAATTTTTAATAGATACAGTATTGGACAAAACAAGTGCAACCAAATAATGCTAATTTAGTTTCTTTATATAAAAGTGCTGCATTTTTTCAATTTGAATTTGCCTTTTGGATTTGTTCAAACAGTTGATCCTTATTACAAACACCTTCACGAATAATTCTGCGGTTGATGATCTCCCACAGGTTCTTGATAGGGTTGAGATCCGGAGATTGAGGTGGCCAATCTATCACCAATAGGTGGTTTTCTTGAAACCACTGCCTGACTGCTTTTGCAGTGTGTTTTGGATCGTTTTCTTGCTGAAAAACCCATTTTATTGGCATATTCCATTCAGCATGAGGTAACATAACATCTTTCTGGATATTTTTATACATAAAATGGTCTATTATTCCATCTATTCGATGTATTGGACCTAGACCGTTAGCAGAAAAACACCCCCAGACCATTACATTGCCTCCACCATGCTTCACAGTCTTTTTGCAGTAGCATAAATCGAGGTGTTTTCCGGCCGGTCGATGTACACAGCAAATGCCATTGCTCCCAATGATGTTGAACTTCGATTCATCATTGAGCAGGACAGTTCGCACATTCCAGTCAATATGAGATGTAGCAAACAGGAGTCTTTTCTGCTGGTTCTTTAGTAAAATCAGCAGTTTCTTTGCAGGACGTCGAGAAAACAATCCAGCTTCAACAGCACGTTGTCTGATTGTTTGGTCCGATACAGGCAGCTTTAATTGCTTTTGTATCTTGACTGGTGATATCCAGGGATCCTTCTTGACGGATCTGACAATCATAGAATCCTCTCTAGAAGTGGTGGAACACAGTCTTCCACCTTTGTTATCTGATGCCAACTTCCCTGTAGAACGATATTTGGAACATATTCTAGATACGGTCTGTTTTTTCACGCGATATTTATCACAAATACTTTTTTGTGACATTCCACTTACGTAAATGCCAATAATTTTTTTTCTAAGTTCCAATCCAAGACTGTCAGGAGCCATTTTTGCACTTGAAGTCATAAAAATAGTAAAAAAAAATAATTACGCTTCTCAAGGCTAACCGTGTTACATTTACCTTGTGATGATACAATAATGCTCTGTGAAACACAACGTCTTGGTTGGATGTGGACCGTATTGATGTAATGAAACACTTGTTGTATTTCACTTCTTGTATTGATGTTCTTTGATAAAACACTTTGAAAAAACTCACGATAAACTGTCTTGATAATACTGACTGATTGACTTCCATATACTAACTGAATTACATGTCGGTTTACATGTCTCTTATACAGTAAAATGAACCTGTGTGAACCTGTTCTGGAAGATTCTAGATGCTTCTTTTCGATGCTTCTGGAAGCTTCTGGATGCGTCTGGATACTTCTGGATGCTTCCAGATGCTTCTTCTGGAAACTTCTGTATGCTTCTGGAAACTTCTGGATACTATCTTTAATTATTAAAAAATTTCCGTGATGTTGACACGGACAAGACTTAAAAAAATGAAACAAACCAAAAAAGTTGCACTTGTTTTGTCCGCTGCAAAATGGCACTTGTCAACAAAATTCTGTCTGTGTGCTGTCACCTGTCAGCTGATTGCTTATGTCATGGCATGCTATGACTCCATACTCCTGAACTGTTTGCTGTGGTAGTACAGTTTGTTTTGTTTTTAAGAAATGTAAAATTAGTAATGCTTTTTAGCATTGTTCGATGTTGGTTGCAAATGTTTTGTCCAATACTGTATATTAAAAATACAATCAACCATAGATTTATAGAAGAACATTTTTCAAACATTTAAACTTTTTTAATACTTTTTTTGTTGTTATGTGAGTATTCTGAATATCTATTGATTCCTTTATTATATATTTTTAAATTTTATCATTTGTTTTTATGCTCAGCCATTTCAGAGGGCAGTTCATTTAATACTGATGTTGTATTTGCAATGGATTTGTCATCCTCTTCGAACGATATCCTTCAGAAACAGAAAAAGATAATTAGATCTCTTACAGAGTATCTTTTGCCATCAACATCAAATGAGTTAGGGTTGATCACTTACTCTGACCTTAGTAACATAGATTCAGAACTCAGTCCTAAATTCAATAATAAGATTTTAGATAAGATTGAAAACAATGGTAGGAGGCAAAATGTTAGTTCAGCTATTACCGTTGCTTCAGATAATATTTTCAAAAAAAGAAACAACGATGAAAAGCTAAAGAACAAGCAAAGAGTGTTAGCACTTTTTGTTGTTGGAAAACCGTCTTCTAGCAACCCACAAGCTGTTCCTGAACGTTATGGAAAATTGTTACAGAAAAATAATGTGCTAACAGTAATCATTGGGTTTGATGAAGTAGGCAATGATTTTAACAAAAATATGCCTGGATCCAAACTTTTGAAATACTCTGAAGATAAAACTCTCAATGAATTGAAAGAATTAATGCAAGGATGGCATGATATTGGTATGTTTTTTTACATGTGTGTTTTAATTGAATCAGTTGTATTACAGTCATGTTTCATTTTTTTGTTTCGATTTATATTATTTATACCTGTGTGTTTATTGTTGCAAGCTTATTTACTTATGTTGCTAAATAAAGTTATATTAGATTGATAAATGTCTTTATATAGGTATCCAGCACTTGTAATTTGGGTCTGCATTTGGCAATGCTGACCTAACTGCTGACCTGAAAGTGTCTGAGGTCAGCAATTTTTTGCTGAACTTTTACCAAATTAAATCAAAAATGAAAAATTTTACATTAATTTCAAATGAGAAGGGAAAGGTGGTTGTTGGGCACAATTGACCCCTTTTTTTTCTAAATTCACGCACGTTTTATAACTAATAAATCAATCAAATTTTTATAGGCCTGTATATATATATATATATATATATATATATATATATATATATATATATATATATATATATATATATATACATATACATAGGTCATTAATGACTTGATATTAATGTTAATTACAATAGACTATGTGAATAAAAATGAGCAATTGCTTTTACTCGGTAATTGGTCAGCTTTACATGAATAAAAACTGTACGAATAATGGTAAAAATTTCAAGATTTACAGATTTATGATACAAAAAAGTGATACAAATTAAAATTGTTGAGATAATGGCAGGTACGTCACAAAAATTTAAATTACTTGCATGTCATAAAGTTAAGGCTTAGTTTATATTTGTTTAAACAAAAACTAATTATGTAAACATCATTATTACAAAAGTTCTTACAATTGATTAAGTAGTTTTTTAAAAAAACTTAATTTAAAATTGTCCCAATTCAACCTATCATCGTGATAATGGTTTTTTTTCTTCTAGTAGTTTTTTTTTGCTAACAAAGTTTTTTAGTAGTTTTTAAACAACTGAAACATTTTTGCTAAATTACTTAGAACTCCTTTACTTAAAAAGTAACATCACTATGGTGTACAGAGAATGCTGTATATACAGGGTATATACTGCTATATACTGCTAATGATTATACTAATTAACTTTATATATATCACTTTTATATATTGTATATATAATAGGGTGGGGTGATATGGATAGAATTTTAGATATATCTAAAAATCCATCCATATTACCCCAACCCACCCTATTATATATACAATATATATTATATATACAATATATATCAACTTGTTTCTCCGCGCAGCGGCCTTGTTCGTCAAGGTTCGTGTTTCGGAGTTATAGAGTTGAGAGAGGGTTATAGCCACAAATAAGTAGCCTCCTCGTCTGTAGTGGCCGTCTCGGCCTTGAGGAGGTGAATTAAAATAAAAAAAAAAAAAAAAAATATATAAAAGCAATATATATATAAAGTTAATTAGTATAATCATTTTTTTTAAATAATTTTTTTTTAGTTAATAACCACTATAAAAACTTGTTTTATTTTTCTTTACATTCAGGGTGTATACATTAACTTCACAATGAGTAGTACACAAATATATTTTCAATAACTAATTTACCAATCCTATTTTAACAACAACTTTCATATATTCATATTACCCCACTGATGGGGCAATACGGATACTCGTATTATATTTGATCACACTTATTGCTGCTCATGTATTTAAAAATCAAACTGTATTGGTTATGTTTAGCAGTTTTCTTTTTCTTTTTGGATACAGTCTTCTTTTCAGCTTTATTCTTCTCTTCTTCTTGCAACCTTGAGACAACATCTTGTGCTGTTAAAATTTTGCCCTTTTTTGCCTGAATATGTACTCTGCATTTTTTTGAATTCACAAGTGCTGTCAGTGTAGATTGACTTGGGCTAGGTGTAAGTACAGAATCAATTGCTCTCTGCAGGTTTTTGACAACATTATTTTCTTTTTTGTTTGACTCATTTACTTCATCATGCTTTGGTTGCATATTCTCTATCTTTTTCATACGTTTTGCTTTGACAACAGGGTAAAAACCACTACCATTAAAACCACAGAAGTTTGCTATCTATCTTACTAATAAGAGCTTTTAAAAAAGTTGGAAATACATACTTTGTTACATCATACATTGCATTTTCTGGACCATTTTGACACTATGCATTATAAAGGTGGATGGCTTTGTAGGTGACAAAAGTAAATAGACACTAGCCATTTGCTGACCTACAAAACAGTACGGAATACATTTATTTACTGCATGATGGAGCCATGTAATAAGTTGTTTTTGATGTTTTCCAAACCAAGATTTTTCCTGCTGTAGGATTTGTACATAAACCTGTTTCATCTAAATTAAATATGCAATGTGGTCTATTATTTTAAAACTTTGGCATATAAAATTCGCCGAATGGTCACACACGAGCAGTGAACGCCCAAGGGAAGAAATGAAGTACATTAGAATAAAGGAGAAGTATTTATTAGACAAAGCATATTTTGACAGTTGTCAAGACAAAAATAAAGATTAATAGAGGAATATTTAAAAATAAATAAGACAGGCTATACAATAAATCAGTACTCAACAATAATAACAATAAAAAAAAAAAAAAAAAAAAAAAAAAAAAAAAATTAAAAATAAATAATGATGGTGATGTATATATATATATATATATATATATATATATATATATATATATATATATATATATATATATATATATATATATATATATATATATATATGTATATATATATATATATATATATATATATATATATATATATATATATATATATATATATAAAATAAAAATAAAAATAAAAAAAATGTTTTATAAATACCAATATGAACTAAAATATACAAGAAATACATAACCAGTCAAAAATTTGTAAAACAAAAAACCATTCAACAAATTAAAAATATGCTAACAACAATGAAAGGACTAATAATGGAAAAAAAACATTAATGCTAATGTGTAAACATAATTAGTGTAGTGATTAAGTAATAAACATCTCCTCAGAGTCGCGTCTATTATTACTGGCGTTTCGATGAGGATCAGCATTTATAACTAGTTTATCCCGTCAGACAAACGTCATCGCCACTTATGCTTTACCCCGCGACTTACGCCTATTCCATACTGCAGTAAAAAAGGACTCACTACAAATAGCCAAAACCCAACCAACCCCAAATTTGTAAAGCACCAATATTTCTTTTGATGATATGATATAAACAGTATAGATTTACTGAACAAACAAAAATAAAAATAAATAAAAAACTTACCATACCACCAAAACAAAACATGAAAACAAAATAAATTAAAATTCTAATAGAAACATAAAAATATTATTCAATTTATTTTAAGAAATAAAACCAAATAGGTATTATTATCAGAAAGTAGTATACCTCATTAGAAAAAATTTTTTAATCAACAAAACAACAATAGCCTTAAATAAACTCTAACGCTGTCATAGATGCCTCATTCGAAATATGATAACCAATCAAAAGTGTAGGAAAATGAGTAACCCGCGAAACCCAAAATCATAACAATAATAGAATAATATATGATAGCGAAAAAGAACGTTGCACAAAAACCTTAAAAATGTAAGCGACATATGTGTAAACATTAAATGAAGGATATAAAAATATTCTCTGAATAATAGTAAAGATGAAAATTGTGCATGTGAAAATTAAAACAAAGCTGAGTAATGAATTCAAGATAATTTAACATGAAAGTTTCTGTAAACAGTAATAATATGAAAATCAGGAGATAAGTAATATATTAATAAATATAGCAATAAGACTAACTAAATATTGTAATAAAACCAGATAATTTTAAGCCAAATGAGTGGTTAAAAAATTAGTTGTGGGCTATATAACAATGATATAAATCGTGATATAAAAACGATGTAGAAAGCGGGAAAAAAATTGTTAAGAAATGATGTTCTCTCTTTGGTCCGAACTAACAGAAACTTTGAGACCATATCTAAATCGAAATTTCCGAAAAGTAAAGTTTTCTCTACGGTCCGAACTAAAAGAAACTTTGAAAAATAAAGTATTATTGTTTTATGTCTTCTCATATAACTCAAAAAAATCTATCAATGTTTTTAGAGAAAGATTATTAGCTCTTGCTTTTTGCTAGGTACATTAAAGCTTCTACTAAAGGTTTTTCCTCAGTATTACTTAAAACAAACCCAGAGCCGCTTCCAATTTATTTGTCATTCTTTTGGATTTGATCATGGGGTTGTCTTTATAATGCCCCATAAGAAATTCTGGAAGACTTTGATACATTGCAAACTAACTCCCCTTCCTTAACAAGCTGTATGGCAGTCATTAATTTACTGTGATCGTATGTACCAATAGTCTTGCATTGATATACTGAACTACTTACATAAACTTACTCACTTTTCAGTTACATATAAAGTTATTATATGTAACTGAAAAGTGTATAATTGTATATTAATAAGCAAAAGTGAGAAAAGTATATAAGTAAATGTCATGTAGCTTATGATTTTGTAACAAAATTTTACAATGTCAGTAGGATTTTATGTATTTTATATATATCCATTTTACCCCACTATCATTTTACCTGTATATCCATTTTACCCTATTTTAAAATTTTGTTTATTCGTCAACATGTGTTTCAGAACTTATAAATTAAATTTTACATGTTGTTACATCATAGTCCAACTAATAAATTTTCATCAATATACTTGCATAAGTATCATTCAGAAGACTGCAGACAAAAGTTTTGAAATCTAATGTTTTTTATATTATTTTTTAAAATAACATGTTTTACATTTTAAATACTCATGTAAATCAGATATGAACATTGTTAATGCAAAAAAAAAGAAGCTAATTATGTGTGTTAACTGTTGGTAATTTTCAGGTTTTAGCATTATATATAGATAACTTAAACCATGCATACTTATTGAATATATCCATATTACCCCAATCTACCCTATATATATTGTATAAATAATTTATATATATATATTTTATATAACACATGTATATATATATATATATATATATATATTGTATATAACATATATATATATATATATATATATATATATATATATA